TAAGTTCCTTTATGTGCAGGGATCTACATCGGGTGGAGTATTACCACGTTTTTCACTTTTTGTGTTTTAGAACAATACAACAATGCTTTAATAAATAATTAATAAAAATAACAAATAATACATTTTGTTCTTGAAATAAGTAGAACAAAAAAATATACAGATATTTATTACATTTTAAGTCTATAAATATATATATTATATAAATCATAAAAATGTTTTATTATATCCAAACCCTGTAATTAAAGCACTTGCTTATTTATAATTAACATACATAATTGACATAGTGCAGGTACAACTAATTGTATTTCGATGAGAACACGTAGCTAACCTTGTACAAGTGGAATATTTTGCTCTACCAAACATTTATTTGAGAGTCCCTTTATCAAAACCATTTAAACCAATAGAAGAAGTTTGACATTCGGATACTATAGTATGCGATTTTAAATAATTATATTAAATATTACATATAAGTCTCAGTTTGTACCAACTGCTACAGGAGTTTAATGCTCAGGAATTTGTCCGGGTAGTTTACCACCCTCTTTACCTAATTCTGTATTATTTCATCATACGTCTCCCGCCGCTGGTGACGAGACGGCTGGTGCTTTCCTGTCTAATCACTAAGTAAATAAGTATAGCCGTTAAGCAAGGAAACATAGCCAGCCCTCTTGGCACTTCTACTATGCTAAGAAGGCGAATAAGATAATACTTATTTATTATTGTTTTAATACAATGTTATGTGTAAATATGCACATAAAATATTTCAAATGAATACAGTTATTTTCTAGTTCTTCTTATCTATACATTAGTGTTATGATAAAAACGGAATTAGGAAATATAAGTCTACGACAATAGTTCTCAGGGAATACTGACTTTAACTACTATAATACATATCAACGCTTAAACATGTTATATGGCCAAAAAAATGGCGCACTATACATAGTAACAATCAGTCTTAACTTTTTTAACCATATCTATCACATTAGTCGTTGAGCGTTGCCAGCGCTTCGCTACCAAATAGCGAAATATATAATTCTTTATAATCTATTGTAGTAAATCAATTTTAATTGGTAACATTAATCAAACCTTAAACTCTTTAATATTAAGTGTCTAAACTGATTCATTTTATAAAATAAGTTCTCGGTTTTCGGTCTCGGTTAAGAAACAAAATTTAGATGCGTTATACCAGTAAAACAGGTTCCTGGTTCTCGCCACAAGAAACACAGTGGTCAAAGATGTGTTATAGGTACATCTTTGCACAGTGGTATTTTACTGCAATTTCACGCCGACATTGTGTGCGAGCCGAGCTATGCGTGTTATATATCAGCTGCAGGGTAGCTCTGGCACGTACAAGAATCTAAAAGCAATGACATGTACTTGCCCTCATGTGGACTGCATGCTTTGTCACACATTGTGCATCTGTACGTGGTGGAGCCACGCTGCAGCTATATTATGGTTGTAGCATAAATGGGTCGGCTTGACCGGGGAAGGACCACGCTCTCACAGAATACCAGCGTAAAATAGCTGCTTTGTTTCGTATGGTGAGTGTAGAGAAATGGAGACCCGTTTTACTGGAGTCGTGGTATTCTATCTTAGTCCCGAAGGGTGACAACGCATCTGCATTTTGATTCTTAATCGAGGTTAAATGTAGATGTCTATGGGCTACAGCATCCACTTACCATCAGGTGGACTGTGTGCTCGTTTGTCACCCTTATCCTATAAAAAAATTAATAAATAAATACACTTCTAAAAAATGTATTCTTAGTCTACCCGCAATACTCACAGAACATCCTCGCATTAGTTTACTAATTATTTGTTATATTGTATTGATAATTAGGTAGACTAACACAAATATGTTTATACTTACTATTTCAAACTAACTCTAAATATAATGCTACATTAAATCAAGCTACAAATCATCTAGAAATAAAGTATAGGTTTTTGACTACCGCTTACTTGCTATAGACCTATATATACTTTAGTAATATCACAAACAGCATTCCTAAATTTATCTTCTTTGTAACCTAAAATCATTTATAAATGTCATATGTGTGAAATAACTACAGTCTTAGCCAAGTTAACTCTCTAATATCTTTTACGCTAATAAAAAACTATAAAAATGGATGGAAATAACATATCTTAACAGTAAGTTACGTAATCACGTAATTTTAGAAAGTTAACTTGACTAAGCTTACTGAACAACATTTTTATAATCCATCTGAAATATAGTTAGAATAAGTTTGTTTAAAATGGGCCGTAATTAACACAATAAATAAATATTTTAGTTAACGATTCGTGAGGTATATTATATTGTACACATATTATATTTACAACAATTGGTACATGTGCAATAAAACAAAACAATTTACGTACGTTATCGCATTTAATTTTAATTAAAGTAGGATAAAAAAGAAGTAAAGTTATTATTATTACTTGTGTAGTGGTCGCGTTAAAAAATTATTATAGTTAAGGTAAATGCGGTTTATGATAAACTTTCCATTTTGCCATTCATCGGTCTGCTACTAAATGATCACTAAGAATATTTATTAGAAATTTCATTAGAATAATAATAGAAAGTTTATAAGTGGTAAAACCAGTGACTTGGTAATTACCGTGTGCTCTTGATGAAAATCTTATATAACTTTTAACTACCGACGGACAACCAGCAACTTTTTAGAATGAACATGACAAACCTTGTACTCGTATATACGCTTGTAACTAAACACTTCTATGTATACTAAAAGACGGGCCATGCGGAGTTGATACATTGCGCCATTGAGTTATGTAATATATAAATCAATACATTGCGCACTAAGTTACCGTTGATTTTCTGTAAATCCTTTGTCGACTCAGAGCGGCTGACAAACTATTAGTTCTTTGTTATGTTAACCGCAAACGTTGCTTTTCACAATCTTACAGCGATTTTGTTTAATGTGACAAATAAAATGCTGTCGTTATTAAAGTGCGCACTTCGTCGACTTGATTAGAAGATTATTTCAGATAAGTAAACTTTATTACAAACATTATCTGTTATAAATGATACCTGTCGTAAATGAAATATATCTGTACTAGCTTGCCAGGCAGACGTTGTTGTGTCCTTTTCGTCAAAAAAAGTTGTGAGTCACTCATGGGCAGAAAAACTATCCTATCTCTCAATTTGGACCAAACTGCACACGGTGCGCAAATTTGATTAAAATCGGTTAAGTAGTTTAGGAGACCATCGCGGACAAACAACGTGACACGTAATTTATATATATATTAAGATAAGTATTTGACTTATACACTATTCCTCTCTCGCTCGCACGATCCACAACTGTTACACCGTCTTCATTTTCATTTGCCGGTCTAGTTGTAGGTATACATAGAAGTCTTGGCATAGTATAAAGAGGCCCCTCCCTTTATATTATGGTATTGGCTTATAACGAATTAGGTACATAATACAAATAAAAATTTAAAAAATTGACATCTTAAAATTAATTTAAAATGTTGGAAATAAAAACTATCTTTACAAAATAAACTATAATACAAAATTATTAAAATTTATTTATATACAACCTCTCTTTTAACTTCAGTAAAGAGTGTATGTAGTTGCAAAGCATATTATTTTTGAATTAACTCGAATTATGGCGGCAATTATCGGACATCAGTTCGATTTTGTAACTCTGGTGATAATCGTTTGCAGATGGAGATCACTACGCAATTGCGTTATTTATTTGTTTTTGATAGAAGAAGGGGTAAACGAGCATGCGTATAACCTGGTGGTAAGTGTCGACCGCTACGAACAACTGCACCATCAGTTGAATTGCAGATGCATTGTCGGCGTTTTAATGAAGAGGTGTACGTTAGTATCTTGAAGGTGCTTAATGGTCTGGAAAAATTGTATGTGCTAAACGAAGAAGCCGTGTAGGTAAGAAAACTCGTAATAAATTACACAGTGATAGACCGGCAAGTATCCACATGGTGTGAATGGTATCAAGAATTATACTATGTTATTAAATGAAATATAAAAAGACATCGGCTTATAATTGTTAGATAACACAGTCAACGAACCAAACGTCCAAAGTCCAAATAAATTCAAACACGATTCATCGACGATTGCAGAAAAACATATTCTATTAAATTATGTCGTAAATATTTTGTAACTAATCTATTAGGCATGTATTTATACATTTGTACATAAATATTTGCGCGCATATATAATATACAGAAATAATATAACGATCTAAGTCATAAACAGTAACTAGAAACTTAAAATATTTTAGGGAAAACTGTTTTTTATTTGGTTTTAAACTTTCAAAAAAAAATTAATGCAACGATGTATCAATATTAACAGAATTTAATTCTTTATTATTAATGGATGAATGGGTACCCACGATACAGGATAACCTCGTATGGGTACCAACGGATACTTCAATAAGTTGTAGTTGATTTTTGTCAAATAAACATTTTTCATTTTCTATTTAGAAATTCTCAATAGTGGTTTAAGTCAAGAATTGGGTAGTGTTTCACCCGCATGCCTCAGAAAGCACGTAGTGCGCACTATATACTTACAGTAATCCGATCTCCCTGTAGTAGACCGAATCAGCGTCCTTTTGGATTATGAAAGTATACCTGTGGTTACACCCACACACGTGCACTGTGATCCAGTCTCCTTTGGGACTGCTTGACGCGCTCAAAATTCGGTGTAGAGGACATTAACACATGTGATCCGGATCACAGGTAACTGGTGGTTGCAGCTTGTGTTATGGTAGGGTAAGAGACGTGCTGCGCGTGTAGACTTGAGCGTGGCGGTGCTCCACACATGTGAGCCGGGTCGCGGTGTGCGAGTGGCTGCAGCTCGCAGGGCGGCGGGGGAGGGGCGGATGCGGGATGCGGGAGCCGCATGGCGAGCGTGACGCTTGCGGCTCATGTGTGTTCCAAGTCGCGGTGTGCCAAGGCTGCAGTGTGTGGTGTGCACGGGGAAGGCATACGCTGTGAGTAGACGCGAGTGCGGCGGTTGTTCCTCACGTGTTATCCGGGTTACGGTCGCGGTGCGCCAACGGCTGCAGCTCGCAGGGCGGCGGGGGTGAGGCGGGGGCAGGCAGGAGCAGGCGCGGGTAGACGGCGCGCAGGGCGAGCAGCGCAGCGAACGTGAGCGCGGCGGTGACGGCAAAGGCGGCGGGCGGGCCGCGGCGTGCGTATACGCCGGCCACCAGCAGCGGGCCCAGCGCGCGCGCCGCGCATCCCGCGCCCGCCAGCACGCCCTGCCACACGCCCTGCAGCACGACGCACGCACGTCAACGTGTGGTCACGCACCACATTGCGCTTGCAGCACGAATGGTTCGACTCCACTTGGAAGAGAACAAGCTCACACGGAACCAGCGTAAAATAATAGCTTTATACTGCTGTGTTTCGTATGGCGCGTGTAGAGAACCGAAATCGGTTGTTTTGTAATATTTTGCAATTAAGCGGCTTAGCTCGCTATGGGGTTATTTTTCTTTTTTCATTCCTTCGATTCAATAAGTTCTGGTTTGGTTTTTGCGCAACTTAAAGTGTACCCAGCGCTTAGTCCTCCTTTCTTTTGTGGTCTGAGTATAGTGAAGAAACGAGGTGATGGATTCTCGTATGCTACCATCACACATGAAAAGAAAAATTAAGAAAGAAAGCATCCCTTGAACACTTCATACATTTTCTAAGAAAGAAGGTCACAGATGCGTTCTCACCTTTGAGGTATAAGATGGAATCTCTCTAACTATACTCTTTTATCGTTCAATCCGTAGGTAGTGCAACATTATGAGGTTATCATCTGTGTCTATTAAAAAAAAACATTTTATTTCAGCAAATTTTCATCAATCTCTATGAATCGAAATGAAATACTGAAAGCACCAACATTGTTGCAGAAAACTCTTCCCCGGTATTTAAATAAAACTACTTTTTGAGATTTTATCGCGTACATTAGCTTATTTTATAATCCGGAAAGTAGCTGTAGTTAACTATGAAACGAGAACTTTGAACACATCAACCTCCCCATAACCATGAGTGCTGTAAAATATTCAAAATGTCTGCCATATAAAATAAGCTAATATAAGCGATAAAATCTGTAAAAACCTCATTACTTAAATGTGTTCATGTAACCAGAAGAAATCGTTATTGTCCCCAGTAGTTTATTGTTTAGCGTTTTGCGTATATACAAAATAGTTGGAGGTTACCTGTGGCCTGGGGCCCAGCACCTTGGAGAAGATAGTCTGTATAAGCGTGACGCCGAGCGGGTAGCCCACCGACACGCAGGCGTACGCCAGGAGGAACTGCACCAGCGACAGCGCTCGTGATTCCGCACACCACGGCTGCGTCTCCTGCGCACCACGCACACAAGAAAGAAAGAAAGAAATATCTTTATTTTAAGCTACATTATAAATAATTACACCATCACATGAATATATAATATTGCATCAACATTAATGCAGCAACAAATAGTAATCCAACTCAGCATTGTGCCGCGGCGTAATAACCACAGCGCTGATGTTATGTCACATCTTTTAAAACTAAGCGAACCCCAATAATATTATAAGTTTAAAAAGCAAATACTTGTATTTATACAACTAAACGGACACTACGATAGAAACAAAATGCGCACTAAGTTATAGTCAATTCTCCGTAACATTTTAGTCAACTGCGAGCGACCACGAAGAATAGTTCTTTGTTTTCTAAGCCGTGAACGTTCTTTTCGACAATCTGATACTGATATTATTTAATGTGACTAAGAAAACGCAGTCATTCTCCATGTGTACACTTTTTTAACGTGTTTTGAAGTTCGTTTAGATTATTATGTAACTTAATTTCATATTTGTCCAAGAACAATAACAGTTGTAATTACAACAGTTGTAATTACAACTACGTGGCATATCTACCATGCCAGCTGCCACACGCGCCCGCGCTGCGCCCGCTCCCGCGAACTTCCCGCGTTTAATAGTATACAAAGAAGCCTTTGGTGAAAATGTTGGATGTTAGTCCTTGAATCACAATCTGGTAGTGTACATAGATGTAACTGACTTAAAAAATGTTTTTATGATTTTTGTTCTTCAATCACATTTCAAAAATAAGATTTCTTTTTATAGGATAGGGTGACAAACGGGCACACAGTCCACCTGATGGTAAGTGGTTGCTGTGGCCCATAGACATCCACACCTATCCCCGATCACGAATCAAAATGCAGACGCGCTGTCACCCGTGAGGACTAAGATGGAATGCCTCGCCTCCAGCAAAAAAGGTCTCCGGTTCTCTACACTCACCATACGAAATACAGCAGCATCAAGCTACCATTCCACGCCGGTACTCTGTGAGAGCGTGGTCCTTCCCCGGTCGAGCCGACCCATTCGCGCTACAACTACACTACCAATATAACTGGAGCCATAACTACACTACCAATATAACTGCAGCATGGCTCTACCACGTATAAACGTTACGTTACGTTTTTTGTTTGGGATGTGAACCTGTGAACAATATCTACGCACACCCATCTTGCGGGTGCTAGGACCTATTATGTAGACTTGCACCAACTGAAACCTCATGGTTGTTCCATATACACCTTCGCATATTGGCAGGGCCACGGAAACGTTTCCACGTACATCTGAGATACCATTAGTGCCGGGCTCTCCTCGGAGGAAGACTTCTCGCCCCCCTTTTCCGTCCTAGTTAAGGTAAGGTATATGCAAACCTGTGGACAACCACCGAGCGCCTCGTGTTGGCCGGGCACAGCAAGAGGCGGTGGGCCAGGACCCCACGGGATGCAGAGCAGCGACGCCGCGGCCGTCGGTAGAAAGCCGCCCCACACTAGCAGTGCCCTGCAACACAGCGATACTGACCACCGCACCCATACACACCTGCATCTATCCTCGAGATCAGATCAGAGAGAGAAAGTTTTTTTAATATAGAATAAGGGAGACAAACGAGCACACAGTCCAGCTGTTGGTAACTAAATGCTGTAGCTGTGTATATATTTATCATTGACTAAGTGTCAAAATGCAGATGCGTTGTTACCCTTGAGGACTAAGATAGAAGAGAGAAGAGGCCTCTTTTGCAGTAAAAATGGTCTACGATTCTCTACACTCACCATACAAAACCGAGGCATTGAGCTGCTATTTTACGCTAGTATTCAGTGAGAGCGTGGTCTTGCCCCGGGCGAGCTGATCCATTCGCGCTAGAGCTATAATGTAGCGGCAGGGTGGCTCCACCATGCTCAAAATATCTAACGTATCTATCCGCGATCACGATCGAGATGACATCAAAATTCAAATTTCCCTTATTCCTCCTGTTTTGGCTAATATGGTCCTAGCGGTGCAGAGCAAGGGGGGGAGTGGGACGCTGTGCGCAGGAACACAGTGGTGGGCACAACAAAGCGAGCAATCGGCGGGTGGGAGTTTAATTCACAACAATGATTATAGCTCATTAATATTATACGAGATTACATCTCAGCTTGTTGTAATAAGACTTCAAAGAGTAAACTTTTAACACCCCCAATCATGATCAAAACGTGGAAATACGGTGGAGTTTCATCCCCGTGCCTCCAAAAACATGTAAAGCCGTTGGTCCCGAGTTTGATACGGGCGTGTCGGGTTGCCCTACCATCAGACAATAAGAGTGATAGAATGGAGAGTGCACCTGGGTTTGCGCATAAACCTTAGGCACTGTAACGTTGCCGTGCGCAGATGGCTAGTCTCCGTTGAGAATGGTTACCGTGGAACGCCTCGTTATCAGCAAAAAAATGTAAGTACCCGTTTATCGTCAATACGAGACAGTATTAAGACGCTGTTTTGTCCTGATATTCTGTGCGTTAACTGTGAAGTGGCAGTGTAGGATTATCCACTACCCCATTACATCCCTTGGGTGACGTAAGAGGAGGTAGAGGAATACTGAACCAGGAGATAAGCAGCAGTATCTTCCTAATAACCACTTAGTGAAAAAATACTGCGGTCGTTATCCCGCTTACCAAGAATAGCAACTGATAGTCTGTGATGGCGGTGGTTACTCTGTGCGTATTGTATTCATGCTTCAGCCATAATACGAGCCACGCTGTAAGCTCTACCACGTACTTTACGAGAGGACGTATTTAAGCTTCTTGGGTATACTACTACGGCTCTATACTATAAACTACAGGTACAGCGTGTTCTCTATAACAACTAAAAGTAAAAAAAAAACTGTGGTTTCCAACTCGCTTGCCAGGATTAGCTATTGATCAAAAACGGAAGCCAAACTGCACACTACATGAGGGTCACTCATATCCTACAAACTAATAATTTGAAGCAACATGACCAGTTGGCAGATACCGGTTCCACGCTTGCCCAGGGTGAACTCACGCAGTGAATTAGAAAAGGCTTATGAAGAAGAAGTTTCAAGTAGTAATGCGCGGGTAATAAAATCCTTAAACATGAATTAGAATAGCACGGCGGACTTATTGCTCCATAATACTTTCAGAAACGATAGAAGACAAATGTCCAGCAGTGGGACGTATACAAGCCGTAATTTTACTTTACAACGTACGTATAAATAAAAATCAATTGCAGCATGTATGAAAGATCGTCACTTGAGAACGTCTCGAACGATTTTGGTGAATTTTTTTGTGTGTGCTTAAGTGGGCTCGTTATTATTTACATTCGCAATTGGTCCGGTAGATGGCGCTTTTGTCGAGATCTGGAAACCACCCGTGCGAAGCCGAGGCGGATCGCTAGTAATTAATAAAATCAAGTATTGTCCAAAATACATATAATTGTTATTTGCGTTGACAAATAACAAAATATAGTTGTTATTTGCGTTGACAAATAACAAAATTAATCTATTATCTATGAATAACTAAAAAACACAGGAGTAAGATATCACTACATTTGTAGTTTGTAGTACATTCTTTAGTATTACCCATTTATCTATTATCTCTAACGTACTCTCTGCCATGCACTACTCCACTAGACAAACTTTCAGTTTACTCTATCGTATATCGATCTAACTTTATCATATTGTTCAAGTGGTATATTTGTTACAAGGTAATTAATAAATTTAACGGTTTAACTTATAGCCCTTATGGACGTATTTAACTATGTTAGTTGTAGCACGAATGGGTCGGCTCGACTGTGATAGGACCACACTCTCACAGAATATCAGCGTGAAATAGCTGCTTAATACTGCTATGTTTCGTATGGCGAATGAAAGTTTTACAGAAAACGAGACATTCCATCCTTTTCTTAAGGGGTGACAATACATCTGCATTTTGATCTTTAATCGAGGATAAATGTAGATGTCTATGAGCAGTCTATCAGCATTTATTTACCATCAAGTGGACTGTGTGCTTGTTTGTCACCCTTATTCTATAAGCATTAAGCTGCCATTTCACGATGGTATTCTGTGAGAGCGCGGTCCTTCCCCGGTCGAGCCAACCCTTTCGTGGTACAGTTATAGTATAGCTGCAGCGTGGCTTTACACTTTTACGCGCTGATGAAGAACAAGAAATATTTATCAATTGAGATTTTTTTCATCGGGAGTGTATTAGACATAGTTTCGCGCCATCAATAATTAACACCTGTGAATATATATGTGTGTCTCTATAAACTAAGCTACCACTACTAAACTAGAGAGTTTCTTCTATGTTTACTAGTAGGGCTTTGCGACCTTAATACATTGCGTACAAAATTATGGTAATTGACCATAATTTTGTACGCAATTCTCCGCAACTTCTTCAGTCGACTGCGAGCTGACAAGAACATTAGTTCTTTGTTTTGTAAACCACGAACGGCGTTTTCGACAAATTAGCACTTGTTATCATTATTTATTTGCGCATTTGTCAACTTGATTGGAAGTTTATTTCAGATACGTATGTTTGTATCGCATTTTTTCAAAAACAGCTGTCGTAAATGAAAATGCAATTGTGCGGCGTTACCGTGCCGACTAGCACCCGCGCCCGCGCGACCCGCAGCTGTGGTAGGGTTTTACTTCTGAATTACCGGTCTAGTAGTATGCATAGAAGTTCAATTATTAGTCTGGTGGGGAGCACGCACCGCTCCTCGAAGCGGCGGGTCAGTGGTGGGATGGCGGCGAATACGAGGCAGGCAACGAGAGCGCCTGCGGACATGAGCGCGCCCATGTACTGCAGCGCTTGCGCCTTGCCCCACCCGAACTGCTCCATGCTCAGCGTCGTGGCCAGCGTCTCCAGTAGTACGAAGTTGAATACCAGCACAAAGAACGCGCCCACCAGCATCCAGCTGCTGATGTAGTCCGGCTTCAGCGCCTTCAACACCTCCTTCTCTGTTAATTGAAACCATGAACAAATTTAATGATGAATGAAAGCAATTTAATTGCTATTGTAATACTTGCAAAATAATTAGAAGAAATCACAAAAGAAAACATAATGTAATGCAACAACAGCATAGAAATAAACTTACAGCTGAGCGATGGCATTTTTGAAAATCATTGTACTTATTATCCTGGTTTCAAAAAACCCGTTAGAACAAGATAGAGTACTTTTTACTTTACATTACATGTAAGTATGAAATATGCTAAAACCGTTTTTATTAAAATAAAACCTTTGCCAGTGATCAAAATCAGTTATGTTTACAGAATATCTAAACAATTTTAAACAAAGGAAGCGCGATGACAGGTTCGAGAAAGATAGCAACAGTATCAGCACATTAAAGAATGGGAGCACAAGCAGGTCCGAATATACAGAGTCATGAACCACCAAGCTCACACCCTGCCTTCTGTTGCGTGCAATCGCCTTCTTTGAAACAGGATAACTGCTGACCGGGTTAACAAATGCGCCATCAGAGCACGTACTAATTATGAAGACGAGCACCTCCACCAAGTTTGCTAACGACCCTCTTAAATGGGAATAAAAGTATGCGCAGAAATTACATGATTTAATTCCTCCCTTCCTTTTTTCACCATCGAACAACTAGGCGCTATTTGGTTTTACGTCCCGTGATAAATCACGAACTTAAACCAAACAGCACGTAAAATAGGAATTATTTTCTAACGTCAGTCTTGCCGTCCGATTGCAATGTCTGAGGTGTTCAAGGCAAGTGAATATACTTTTGTTACACTTACAGTATGGTTAAGATTTACCAAATATGCTTCACCAACACTTGCCATCAGATGAAATTCAAATCAAGCACTTGCTTTTAAGTAAACAAGTAAAAAGTATCGGTTTCATAATGATTTAGGCTCATTGATCGCATCAAGAGATACAGTACTAGAATACAGGAGTGGGAAAGATATAAGATATAAAGACATTTGTTCCAACATATACATCTCATACAACACACAAACAAAAAAGAAGTACACATACTTATATGTGTATGAAACACACACATACACGCGCGCGCGCGCGCACACGCACACGCACACGCACACGCACACGCACACGCACACGCACACGCACACGCACGCGCACGCGCACACGCACACGCACACGCACACGCACACGCACACACACGCACACGCACACACACGACACACGCACACACACGCACACGCACACTCACACGCACACGCTCACGCACACACGTTACACAATCGTGTAACGTCATGAAGCGGTGGAAAAGGCCGTCTTATCATTAGCCACGCTCTTGCTGCACTGATTTTCAGTCGACCCAGTGGAGTCAACAGCGTCGGAGGGGCAACAGTATGCGAGTAATACATAAAAATGCGTACCTGATCGGTCACCGCGTGCTCGAACCGCTTCCCGCAGCGCAATGTCGGTCTCCTGGAAGCAGCAAGGCAACAGTAGCAGCAGGTTGATGAAGCCGAGCACTCCATTGATAGCACCAGGCGCGCTATACATGTCAAGGTGGAGGCCTGGAGACTCGTCCGCGGAGCCTAGTGGTGCGGCGGCTGCCTGCAACGCTGGGCCCGCTACGAAACCCAGCACCTGCGCCAGCGACACGGCTGCCACGGCACGTGTGCGCTCGCCTGCTAGTGTGGCAGCCGACAAGTACGCGCGGGCTACAGCCACGTTTGCTGCAACCACACAAGAACACCCATTTTTTATATTGAAATAAGTACTCGAGTTCACATACATTTTCACAGCACTCTAGTATAGAGGCAACTTCCCCAAAATCGTCGTCTGGTAGCTAAGTCATCCATCTTCCATGATAGCATAGTCCACCTAATGGAATGCGGATGCAGTTTTGAAAATCACCTGCTATATTATTAAGAATCAAAATACAAATACGTCGTCATCTATGATACCACTGAGATGAAATGTCTCGTTACAGTTAAAGTGTTATGTTGCTATTTCAGGCTGGTATCCTGTGAAAGCGTGGTCCTTCCCTAATTGAGGTAACCCATTCGTGCTGCAGTGTGGCTGCCACGTAAAAAGAAACAAGGATAGCAAATCATTAAATCATCTAATCTAGTCACTTTACGAGTAGTACGTCGAGTATGATTTAGACGAGTAAGTGTCACTTAAGTGTTATTCGTAAGTCGTCTCCACGGATCATTCCCATGATTAAAAAAATGAGGCGTGAGGACACTCAACCTGCGAGCTGTTCGGAACACTTTACAGATTGCATCGCGTTCACATATTTCACTTTACAACCCAAGTCTGTAGATACTAAACTATCAGACTTCGGTACATACTTCATCTTCCTGTACATAAGTCCGTAAAACGTCACTATTGAACGTGGACATATTCCGTTGTAAGGAGAAGATATATCTAACACATAATAATCGCCATCAGTGATGTGTTTCACCTTGTTGTGACTTACTAAGAAAAAGGGGTCACGTGTGATTAAACCTCAGATCATTCTGTAATGAACTTATATTTTTAAACCGGATCATAAAAGCACGAATTCCACTGACAAAAGTTATCATGGCCGCGCATTCGTGGACGAAATGCAAGCAATGGAATCGATAAACGCAGATTCAAGAAAATATAATAAAAATCGAGATGTAAGTTAATTAAGACCGATAGTATTTTTATAATAATGAACTTAAGCCTCCGTAGCGCAGTGGTTTAGCCTTGAGATTCGATGTTGAGGACTGCGAGTTCAAATCCCGAGCGATTATTTGAAAGGCCTACAAATTATTGATCCGGGTTTGGATGTTGGTTGGATGCGCTGAAACGCACATTTAATTAACTATATTAGCTGGCAATATCCAATCTCTTCACATCCGTTTCCATTCCTGCACGGGCATGTCCAATAGTAGGCTAGACATGGTGGAATCATTTCGCGCGCCCCAGAGAGGGGCTACGTAAAAAGTAAAAGGGGAAGCTCGCCACCGGCCCACCAGAGTTGTCGACGTGCACCGCCGCTCGAAAAGTTGAAGTTTGACCTTAGATATGATAGCACCTCTGTTGCAGTCGAGCCACAGAACGATTTCGTAGTAACCGCTTACACAGTGCTATTCGTCGTGCACTAGTGCAAATAATTCGTCGTGGTGCCAACAGTCAACCCCTGAGTATTTGTCGTCGCGCACCACCGCAGTTGTAACGCAGTGTCACCAGCCTAGAGGCCTGACCCCAAAGACAGTCAGAAGACCAACGCCCAAGTAAGGGCCCTTTCCTATTTTGAGCTGTTCTCATTTGTTGTTCTTTCCCCACAGCAGCTCATGCTGCTGCCACGCCAGCTTATATAGTAAATTAGGTAATAGCAGAGTGCAACGTCCAAAACCGGCCACGTACCACGTCCGCCATTTTGTATTGGTTATAGTGAACCACGCTAAATACATTCCACTTTAGTTACATCTCGCACTCAATAATTTGTAACTATCCGTTCCCGGATTCGAACCCAGATACCCTACCGTTTCACCATTTTGTGGCCCCGTTTCCGGAATTAATATTAGCAATCATTAGCGCCATTATTGGTCTTTGTACAATGTGTGCATTTACACTGCCTCCACGACACCGGAGAGAATCCTAGTGGAAATCCTGGTGAAAATCCTATTTGAAAAAATATATCAAGTAGAAAACGTAAACTGTAACTACTTATGTACACCTGCACTTACAAGAACTAACTCCTATAAGGAACCTGGCGATCAGCATGCAGTAGAGCGCGTAGGGGCGGGTGAGATGCAGCTGCGAGTACAACGCGGAGGCCATCACGAAGAGAGTCATGGTGGCGACGAGCGGCGCGCGCACGCTGCCCGCGCGGTTGGCCCACAGTCCCAGCAGTGGGGACAACAACAACTGCCCCAAAGGACTCGCGCCCACTGCTAACCCCAGCATCTCCTTCTTTGTGCCCGGCTCCAACTGTAACGTTAGTAAGTCACGTGTAATTAACACTGCCTTTCATCAAATCTCCTATCCTAAAGCTACAACAATATTTAAAGTCTAGCGTCAGAGTCTGGTACGAGATCAATATTAACCACTGAATAGTATAAAAGTATCGGCAGACGCTGAAGATCTACTAGCGGCAATTATTTAGACGACGCGTAGAATGTCTAAAAGACGAGAGAGAGAGAGAGAGAGAGAGAGAGTGATGGATTATTTGAATGTGCCACACTGCCATAAAGACGACTTTCATTACATACAAAACTAATCATGTTTCCATTAATCATATATAAAAGAAACAGTTTAATTTTCAAAATTTTCAAATATATAACAAATCAATAATAAAAATAACTAACTAGGATTATCCCCTATATTGTAAAGGTATGTTATATTTTTTTTATTTATTAATTAATTTCAGATAACATAAGATCCATATCATTAAAATTGATTGATTTAAAAACATTAATTAATTGATAATAAATAATAATAATATGTCATGAAAATACAACGTTGCAACACCGTGCATTCTCCCGCGTCAGCATTTTAGTATTTTGACACTATGCGCGACTGACCTCATTCATTAATATTTTATTGTGTAGTGTGTTTGTGTTAGCCTACCAATACGGTCGCGTGACTCAATCTTATATTTTTACCAAGTTTCGTGTATTGTGAAATCGCAATAAATCATTGTTTTTCTCAAGATCGTGTTTAAATCATTCATCATCAGATCAAGTAAAAGGTGTGTGTGGTGGTGGTATACCAAGACCAAACAACTAACATACATAACATAACATAACATATACACACAATAATAACTAACACATAATTATTATTTAGTATCTTCTCACTCCCACAATTACTGGGACATGTTTGTCGCAGCTATGCCGGAGGATAGGACAGTCTAATCAGTCTCCTATCATTTTCAGAATAATATTGGAGCTGGCCCGCACTCTGCGCACCAGCGACGCGCACCGCTTACGCATGGTCGTGTAAAAACAGGCAGTGCGCGCCTCCGCAAACATGCCAGAGGCACTGCAGAAGCGGGGCAGCCCCAAAACCACCCTGAAGGCGTTATTGTACAGGACGCGGAGATCGTTGTAACTTCGTTTATTATAGTCTGCCCACAGGCTGGATGAATAAAGTGACGTACAATAAGCTCTAAATAGTGTAATTTTTACCTTCTGTGAGCAACGTGCAAATCTGCGGGCTATCATATTAGCTCTAATGGACAACGCTCTCCGCTCCCGCTCAATGTCCGCATTGTCCTTGAGGACATTAGTTATTATGTGTCCCAGGTACTTAAATTGATTGACAACTTCTAGCGGCACCCTATTTTGTAACACTGGAGGTGAATCCTGGGGACACTTGGTACCTGCCTTGAAGACCATGCATTGACTTTTCTTCACATTGTACTTTAGACCGTGTCCACTCGCATACTCTTCAGAAATGCGTATCAGTTTTCTTAAGCCACAGATCTACGCACTCAGCAAAACCATGTCGTCAGCGTAACTCAGATTGTTAACACATACTCCGTCGACATGACAGCCGACGCGCTGGCTGCTGAGAGCGACGATCAAATCATTCATATACAAATAAAAAGTGTCGGAGATGTTAATCCGCCTTACCTGACTCCACATTCAAGCCAATACGGATCCGACATTGCTCCCGCCCAACGTACGCTGTTAGATTGGTGTTAATACCAATACTGGAACACGCTAATGAGTTCCTCAGACAAGTTTATGCTTCTTAGCTTATCCCATAAACGGTCGTATCGGACTAAATCAAAAGCCCTTGATAAGTCTTGCGGTTTGTATAGTATTTAACGGTATGCTTAAAACACAGTATTGCGCTTTCAGTCGACAGCTGCGGTCGAAACCCGAACTGGTTATCATTCAGCTTTACGTGTTTATTTAACTGTGCATTAAGCAACCCGTCAAACACCTTTGCTATGACAGTGGCAAGGGAGATAGGCCTGTAGTTATTTTGTCGGTAAGATCACCAGTTTTATTTTTCACTACAGGCACTACAACTGTCTTCATAAAATCGGCTGGTAAGTAAGAATGACCCACGCATAGCGAATAAAACATAGTAACCAAACCAATAACCAAATAATACCTTCGCGACATGTGGCCCGGCGTACTGCAGGTGCTCAATACTAAGACCGTCATGTCCCGGTGACTTACCTCTTGATATACTTTTTATGGCTTTTGAAACATCTTTTGCCAAAAACGCGGTCGTTACTACGTGACTACTTATGTTACTATTGATCACACCCCCGGCGGGGCCCAGTGGCGATTTCAAAGAAAAGTGGTCCCTAAAGACATTTTCAATATCCTTAGGGTCGTTCACACCATCGACGCTCACAGGGAGGCCAGGCCGTACATTAATTTTACTAGTGTTTTTCCAGAAGCCCTTAAAGTTACCCTTTGAATGCTTTTCCGCAAGAGAGTCCATTTTTATTTGTTCTTGGTGGTCTTGGCACCACTTTAATCTGGACTTGAAAACTCGTCTGCTTTCGCACATTACTCGGTAAACAGGACCCGATTTTGGCTTTCCGCACATCACCCATTCATATAACTTGGACCTAGCCTCCCTATGAGCAGCGCTGAGGTGCTTGTTCCAACCCGCTATGCGCGAGCGACTCCCCCCCCCACTTTCATGCTTCCCCGACTTACCACCGCTGCGTCACGTAGGGCGGTCACAATGTCGGCGTAAAGCTTTTCCAGAGTATGCCAGTGGCCACGGTCATTACAAGCATAATCAGCACAGCTCACACAATGCGAAGGAAAGTCAATCATTACCTCTTATGACACTCACTGGTATACATAGAGATTTGTTCAACACTTCTTTCACCCCATAATATATCTTTATTTGGATTCATAATTTTAGGTAATATTTTAGGGGTTAGTAATTTTAAATTGCAATTTATAATAAGTGGAAAGTGGTCCGACCATTGAGTGTCATATATTACATCAACATTAATCACAGACTGCTTTGCCGACTGAGTACCAATGCAGTGATCCAGCCAGCTGCATGTCCCAAACACATCACTAATAAAAGTGAAAGTGCCCGTGTTTAACCCTAATATCTCTGTCTATAACGACCATAGTTCCTTACAAAAATTAATAAATTCACTGTAAAACAACTCACCCGGGTCCGCATTAAAGTCTCCCAAAATAAATACAGCATCAATTCCGTATTCGTCAACAATCGCACTCACCGTACTTAAACAGTCTATAAATTCTGGTAAATTTAAATCAATATAAATGAAAAAAAAATCTATATACATGAATTGTACATGACAATGACATGTGGGGAATAAGTCGCTCGCGTCCGTAGGCTTTGACCACCTAATCCTAGGCCCACCCTACACGTGTCCCCCTGGTGGTGCTAAATGAGCGACAAGCCGATAGCACAGACTCGGCTCCTCGCCGTGTAGCAAACAAAAAAAATGGCCCCGAGTTCCCGGCGCCCCTTTAATGGGGCAGGGGTGCGAAGAATCTCCGGGAGGAAAACCGGCGACGAGGTTCGCCACCCGTCACGTTCCGTCTCCCGGAGGGGCGAAAAGTGGATTGCAGAGGCCCGTCTGGCTACGTTGAATGTATGTGGAGCAATTAATGATAATATGGATGAAGTATGCGATATGATGTATGATAGAGGAATAGATGTGTTATGTGTAAATGAGACGAAACGGAAGGGGAAGGAGCCACTACACATGGCATGTATACCGCATACTGGTCTGGTGTAGACGAGATTGAGCGGGCATGTCAGGGAGTAGGTATCATCCTTTCAGAAATGTGTGAAAGAGTATGAATGTGTATACACAAGACTGCTATGGATACGAATGAAAGTGGGCTTAAAGAAGTTGTTTGTGCAAGGGGTCTATGCCTCAGACATGTCTAAGCCCACTTATATCCGAGAGCAGTTTTGGGAAATGGTAAGGATGGTGTTAACGAAATGTAAGGGAAATGAAAATATTATTATGCTAGGGGATATTAATGGAAGGGTTGGGGTGAGGAGGCTTGGTTATGAAAGGATATTGGGAACGTTTGGTGATGAAAGTATAAATGAGAATGGTGAAAGCCTCCTCATCGTATGTATGGAAAAGAATCTTTTTGCGACGAACACTTGCTTTCGCCACAAGAGGATTCACACGTATACTTGGGAAAGAGGTGATGATAGAAGCATGATAGATTTCTTAATTGTGGATGAAAGAATGAGGGGCGCAGTGGTAGATACATGGGTTACCGGGGGTCTAACGTAGGAACGGATCATTATTTGATTTTATGCCGAATTAATGGTCTATTCAGGCGTTGGTGCCATCGGTCATCTGTGTCTACCACTGCTTTACAGCGTATTATAACTGAAAGGTTACAAGAGGAAGGTGATAAAAACAAGTCCAAATTTAGACTGAAAGAAAATATAAGCGGTTTGGATGAATTATGTATGAATGAGTTAGACTTGGAGAATGTATGGCAAAATGTTAAGAAAGGTTTAGTGGATGCAGCTACCGAAGTATGTGGTGTTAGTAAGAGAAAGAATGAAAGGAAAAATAATACGTTATGGTGGGACGATGAGATACGTATGAAAGTTGAAGCAAAGAAGAGAGCATGGCTAGATTTACTAGCAACAAAGGCTGGTAATTCTAGCGGTACGAATGATGATATTGAAAGAAAAAAGGCAGTCTTTAGACATCTAAATAAGAGAGTAAAATAAGTAGTTGAAAGGAAAAGCAAGAAAGAACGGATAAGAATGATAGAAGATTACCGGATAACTTCCAGGCAAATATTAAAATGTTCTGGAAACTCGTAAGAACTGCCAGGGGACATTCAAAACAGCCTATAATGAATGCTATAAGAGATGAGAATGGCTATATTCTGAATGATGAAGTTTTGTGTTTAAAGAGATGAAAGGAATATTTTGAAAGCGTTTTTATGAGTGAGGAGACAACGTATAAAATAAATGAAGTAGGAACTGCG